GGGTGTGCTAATTAACCTTATAGAAACTTTGTGTTTATTTCAATTAAGAGAGCATTCGCAAAATGTTGATTAGATTTACAGAGAGTAGTACAAACGCTTCTCAGTTTGAATTGTATGTTATGATGCTTTCTCTGCCATCCAATTGTGATCCAAAAGTTGTGTTTTTTAATCTCATAGCTGTGGTCAAAAGTTCTCAAAACTCTGTTGAACCACATAGACTGCACAATTTTTTTTTCTTGCTTAGTTTCCTCATCAAATGAAAAAGACATTAATTACTGTTTGCGTCCAAAATTGAATTTAACTAAATTTTAATTCAAAATGTGAAATATTTGATGTACATAATTTTATCTTTGTAGGTATAGGATCTAGAAAGAAATTTCTATATCTCTGTGTGAATTTTATTAAAATAAAATTTGGTATTGTTATGCAGGAGAAATCACGGGGCCAAACAGAGTGGCAACTAGAAGACATGTCGCTACGTTGTGAGCAGCAGGCAGAGCAGCTTTTTTCTCAGCAGGTCCGCATTGAGGAGTTGGAGGCAGCACTGAAGGTAGACACCACAGTCAAGGCTTATATTATCTGTGTTATGATAGATTAGTAGCCCTATGAATGAATGTATGAGAGGAAGAGAAAAAGAGAAAGACAGAGATGGGTTAGGGGGGGGAGAAAGGAGCGAGAGTTGTATGATAGGAGGCAGTTTTATTTGTGATATGTGGATGGGAGAGAGAGAGAGGGAGTTAAAGAGATAAAATAGTTTGTGAGAAATCAGACTAGTTCAAGTTAACTGAGACAGACTTTAAAAGGAAATATTTTTAGAAGAGGAAAGGAGTGAGGGACTGAAAGTTGTTTGAGTGTATCAGTAAGCGATAGTGAGAGAAGAGGATCCATCTTGTAAATGCTCTGTGTGAATGAAGACCCTATTTTGCTAACATCCTGAGACTTTGTCGGCCTTATAATAGCTATCTATAAATAAACACTGCCCTTGTCCTCAGGCTTTGTCTGGTGGTGGTGTGTCCTCCGGAAGTCTGGACGCTGCTTCTTCCTTCCCGTCGACACGCACCGGACACACCTCTGCCCGCAGACCCAAGTCAGTACCTGCCAAGATCCATGCGGAAAGAGAGGTGAGATAATCTGTACTGAAAACTTTAAAAAATTATTTCCACTCTTCCCTTTTCCTTGAAATTAAAAGGGCACACTGATAGCTCTGTTGATTTAGCACATTACATGCTTCTTGGGAAGCTGAGAATGTTTCTGAATGTGCTCACAGGGGTAATGAAAGCTATAAAGTGCATACAGCTTGATGTGGAGCTTGGATTTTTAATATATAAATGCAGTTATTATTGTTATCACTATTATTGTTTTAATTACTATGTCCCTTTTGTACCATTCTATGAATGAAAGCATTTTATTATGTTGTATTTGCTCCTGGGCTGGGAATTGTATGGTGAAAGATCAAGAACAATTTGACAGAACCTTTAAAAAAAGCCTGCAAGATCTCTGGATACGATTTTTACTAGAATTGATGAAATGTATAAGATCACAAGTATAAAAACGATAATAAGCATTATAAACGACCTGTCACACACCCTTTCTACACAAATTGTTAGATCGTGCAGCGGCAGATATGCACCTCTAAAAACGAAAAAAGGTTTCTTGCCGTCTAGTTTAAAACTACTGTCAAAATAAACATCATGTGCATTGCTTTTTGGAGTATGTATCTATATAACTCTGAAGGTCTTGTAATTAAATTCCTGAATGTGGTTGAATGATGTTTCTGATGTTATATGTACATTTTGTAAGCTTTACTTTTCTTTTCATATCGAATTTTAATGAGAGTAATATATAATTTAATTTTTTATATATACCTGCATGTGATTTTAAAATCCTGTGTAGCCAAGAAAAGTTTCTTTGGGACGATAAAGTATTATTTGATATTACCTTATCTGATCTTACCTTATTATTGTTATTGATATAATTATTATTATTATTATTATTATTATTATTATTTTGTACAATGACAAATCTCTTCTGTCTTTGCCAGGCCCAGATGTTGCGTCCTCCGTCCCGACTCATCAAGACGAGCCCAGCGTTGTTCACGCTGGAGCGGGTTATGCAGAGTTTCCGCGCCAGGAGCCAGCTTTTGGTCAGTCGTCTGGAGGATGCCGACGATGTTCTGCACCAGACGTTCAGCGACAACGACGACGATGGTGATGATGTTGCTGCCGAGGATGGGGGGGCAGCAACGACGAAGGTGGTGGTTGCCCCAGCTACCCCCATGGAGAACGGTCAGGATGATTCTCTGAGGTGAGGAATCATACGGTCACTCACTTGTACATTATCATGCATGAGTACTCTTCCTTCCCACACACACATACACACACACTCTCACACACACACACACTCACACACATGTGCTTACTCTCTCACACTACTGACATGCACACTGTCTCACACATACGCACTCACACTATCTCACGTTTACTCACACACACACACACACACACACACACACACTGTCTCACACAAACAAACACACACACACTCACACACACACACACA